ATTTTAATTTCCCCGAGCTATGTGAGTTTAGTAGAACCTTATAAGCACACTATTTTTTTCTGAGCAATTCTGATTAAAAAATATAATACCATGTTCAGTGAAGTGTTGAAACCAATTGCAGACAGAATTTGGGAAAACTTGAAGGTAAAATAAAGGATCTAATTTATTAAATAAAAACAAGGGCTAACGGACAAAATCAGTCAAATAAAAACCTTACAGAAAAAATCCAGAGCCCATGAAAACACAGAGGAGCTGAACACAAATGGCTGAGAAGCACAATCCATGGACGGGGAAGAAACACACTGACACAGAACTTAAAGAGAAACTAATGACAGATAATGACGAACACCTGGGGAAAGACACCAAGGAGAACACTAAACATTAATAAAATACAGATTCTCACATATAAATATATCCATCCATCCATCTATTATCTTTACCTGCTCCTTCCATTTTGGGTCACGGGGGTTGCCGGTGCCCATGTCCAGCAATCACTGTGCGAGGGGCGGGGTACACCCTGGACAGGTCACAAGTCCATCACAGGGACACATGGAGACAAACGAGACAAACAACCATTCACTCTCTCACTCACACCTAGGGACAATTTAGAGTTACCAATCAGCCTAACGTGCATGTTTTTGATCTGTGGGAGGAAACCGGAGTATCTGGATAAAACCCACGCATGTACAGAGAGAACATGCAAACTCCACCCAGAAAGGCCCCCGGACCAGGATTTGAACCAGGGACCTGCGCGCTGAGAGGCAGCAGCTCTACCAGTTGCACCACCTGCCCTCTATTTTGGAGCAAATGTCTTTATTCAAGTTTAGGTTAAATGGAACAACTTCAAAACCGAGTTAAACTTTTGCACCAAATGAGACAATTTTGTTGTTCTAAAGATCAGATAAACCTTTGGGGATCTTTAGCACATCACAAGGTGTTCATTTTTGATCAATCACTTTTGTGATCCACTTTTCTTCCATACAGTTTTCAGCTCTATTCTCATCCTGCAGTTTTCAAGCAGTTCAACAAATCATGTATCAAAACCTTCAGCTCTTTCAGGACAATCCTGCTATGACTTTTGGTATTGGCGCAACTTTAGCTTTTTGAAATATTTAGCCTTTTCTGCCACTTTTTTCTTAATGAAAATGAACTGTGCTCATTTTACATCCTTCACATCTTTAGATCTGTTTACAACCTTTTACTGCTCCTTTCACATTTTGTTCTGGTTCAGCTTCTTTCAGCTATCTTGTGCAAATTTAAACATTTTTCAACTACTTTCAGCTAATTTAATCTGGTTTTGGTTTGTTTTTTTTTGGTTTGTTTTGTTTTATTTTGGTTTTTTGTTGTTGTTGTTGTTTTAGCAAACTTCATCTTTTTTCAGATAATTTCCACTTTTATGTGCCCGTTTTTTTTTCATTCTGCCTAATTGGGCAAACATTTTTTTTTTTTCTGTTTTCTTCTGCTAATTTAAGCTTGTTCTACTTTTTCCGCTACCTTTTTAGCATTTTTTAGCTAATTTACAGTAAGCTGTTTTTAAATATACTCAGGTTTTTCATAGTAATTTTGGCTACTTTCAGCCTAATTAACGTCATTCTGCTAATTCCTATGCTCCTTTCAGCTTATTTCTGCTAGTTTCAGCTTTTTCTGCTGAAAAATCTAAATTTATCAAAGAGCTAAATAGTAGCTAAAATAGCTTTTTCTGCTATTTACTGTTTAGCTGTTTTTGCTAAATTTTGCTTTTTCTGCTAAAGCCACATTCTTGGATCTCATTTCAACTCCTTTCACTTCCTTCTAGTAGTTTGTTTCTTTTTACCTTTTCAGCTACTTTCAGGTATTCTTTGCTAATTTCAGATTTTTTTAGCTAATTTCCTAATTTTTGTGCTCATTTCTGATTATTTTAACCTAATTCAGCAAAAATTAAAACAATCTTTCTGCTTTCTTCTGCTAACTGAGGTTTGTTCTTCCATTTCAGCTACATTTCAGCATGTTTTTAGCTAATTTCAGTTGTTTTTCAGAAAGTTCTTCTGCAACAAGCATTCACACTGCATTTTCGAAGGAAATGCAATTTCTCTAGTTAATTTTGTGAATGCTTCTTTCTGTGATTATAACATAAAAGTAATGAAGGTGACCCACAAACTCTGGCCCTAACATGTACATGATTTGCTTTGGCGCTGTACTTGCTTTGATTGTTTTTATTTCAGCCAAGTTTGACCCACCTGAAATTGAGAGGATTGAAGTGAAGAGCAGGAGGTTTGGATGCCTGAAGCTGAGGTGGAAGTTCTCCAGGCACCAGGAGTGGATGTGTTACAAAGGGTTAAACCTGGAAGTTCGATTCAGGGTGGCTGGCAGCAACCAATGGAGTGACCCACCAGTGAGTTCACATCATTTAAAGTGACTTCCTGCAGTTGGATTAATTATCCACCAGAAAACTGCCGTGTTCATATTTGTAGTTATCTCTGCATGATTTGTGCTAGATCCTTGTGGACTGGGTTAGACCATCCAGAGCTGTGGAACAATGTTGTCTCCTTCATGGGACCGAGTACTCAACCCAGATCAGAGTCCGATACCTGCAGAGCCCCTGGAGTGAGTGGAGCGGCAGCAAATCTGCTGTCACCTTGGAGACGGGTGAGGCTCAGATCGATTCAGACGGACTCAACTGGTCACTTCAACACTTTTAAACTTTGTCTTTTGTTTCCCTCCTCCTGGTGTTTTTTAACACGAGCAAATATCTTCTGCACCGTCCACTGCTTTGCTTTAAAGCACAGATTGAAATGAAATGTTGAGTTTTGCTGCATACGCCGACAGCAAATCTATAGAAGTATCTTGTAAAGTTTTGCGTTTTATAGACTCGGGCGTTTAACAGAGTTTAATTTATTATTTTCTTTCAGCTCCTGCTGGACGTCTAAACACGTGGATGAAAGTTTCAATGAATCATACGTCCAAACAACTCGACATACAGTTGTTCTGGAAGGTACACGTGTTAAAATGATGCACTCTCACTTGCACTCATTCACTTGTTCTGGTAAAGTGTAACGAATTCTTTGGTGAATACGTTTCTTTTTTCTTCTTCTTCTGTTTTAGCCATCAAAACAATTCCTCGCCAACAGCCAAAATGTGTGGTATGTAGTTTCAGTACAGAAACAAGATGCTGGAAGAAGGAAACTGTGCCACACAAGCGCACATTACTGCACTTTCCAGCTTTCTGCAAGAGTAAAGAAGCTCTATTTGAGTGCTGTGAATGGAGCAGGGAAATCCCCACTTAATGAAATTTGGATTTACCCAAATAAAGGTAACTGGGATCTTAAAAAATATACAAGAAGTTTGAAAAATCACTCCGGTTTTTGCATGGAGCTCATTTTTGCTGTTGTTTTCTGTAGCCCAAAGCTCCGTACTAGATGTTGCAGCTGTTCCTCATGATAACAGATCCCTTTTGATCCAATGGTCATCTGTGGTTCCTTCAAGCCTGATTGGATATGTGCTGGAATGGAAGCCTTTATTAAAAACAGACCTCTCTCACATCCAGTTTGAAATTTTGGACCAAAATCAATCTAGCCTCGTGATAACAGGTACGACAGTCTAATTTATATCACATAAATTCTAATCAGATTTTTCCACTATCACAAGAAATCACATAACTCTTGAGTAAGATTTTCCCTGTGCGTAAACTGCCTGTACACAGTGTTCCCATCTGACCTCTTCACTCTCATCAATAGGCAGCTTGGAGCCCTACAAACCCTACAGGATCTCGGTGTATCCCAGGTTTAAGGATGGGCTCGGTCCTCCTCAGACTGTTAATGCCTACTTGAGACAAAAGGGTAAGTCACTGTAGACACAAAGAGGATTACACAAAGAGCAAGCAGAGGTGCAAGAGTCACGCCGCCTCAACTTTAAAGTAGTGGGGAGAGCATTGGCATAAATTAGATTACATAAAATGTGCAATCCCTCTGTAAACACATTAAATGTGAGGAAATAGCGCCCTCTTGTGGAAGGGAAGTATAAATTTTCCAGCCTGCTGGAGAAAAGATATGAAATATATTTTCTTTTCAAAGCTCCATCTATGGTTCCTAAAATACAAATTGGGAAGATCTGGAGCTCACGGGTTGAGCTGACCTGGGATGAAATACCTTTAGAGGAAAGGAATGGAATGATCAAGGACTACAAAATCTTCTACTGGTATGACAAAGGACCTGTAAAAGGTAAGTTACCAGTAAAAGCTTGTAGTTGAAGGCCTTCCTGTAAGTTCTGTTCTCATGTTTGATGTTCTCTGATGTTGGACTGTTCGTCCAGTTGTGGTTGCAGATGCGGAAGAGAGGAAAGTGACCCTGGAAAATCTCCGCATGGAGTTCTTGTATGAGGCTTTCATGATCGTCAGCACGTTTGGTGGGAGCCTGAACGGATCAACAATTCATTTTAAAACTGAGCCCTTTGGTTGGTATCAATCTGGAAATTACTTTTTATAACGACTAAGTGATCAGATTGTGTATTTATCAAATAAGATTTAACATTGTGACGTTTGTGTTTGTTTCTCAGATGTTGTAACTATTGCGGTGATTTTGATTTCATCTGCCGTTGGACTAACTCTGCTGATAATTACCACCTACATGACTTGTTTCTCCAAAAAGAAAAGGTATTTTAATTACTGCACTGAAAGCTGTGACGCTGAGACATCTTTTATCGTTGAAGGTTTTTTTGTTTTGTTTTTGTTCCTCCATCTGAAGGCTGAAGGGACGCATATGGCCAGCTGTTCCAGATCCAGCTAACAGCAGCATTAAAATATGGACATCAGAATACACTCAGGTAAGAGAAGATGACATCTGCCAGTTGAAGCTGCAATAATTAGAAATACTAATGTGTAACTTGGAAAGGGTCTTGAAAGGAATAAAGATTTACAGACTGTAAAGTAACATTTTGGCATATTCTTGTTTAACATTTGCCACCTCTAGTTGTGTGAATGTTTATGAAGCATTCACACTATTGTGATCCATGTTTCTTCTGTACGTTTTTCGGCAACTTTCTCATCCTGCAGTTTTCAAGCTATTTCATAAAATCGTATATCAAAACATTCAGCTCTTTCAGAACAATCCTATGACTTTTGCTATTCAGCTTTTTGAAATATTCAGTCTTTTCTGCCACTTTTTTTTTTTTTGTAGTAAATGAATTGAGTTCATTTTACATCCTTCAAATCTTTACATCCGTTTACAACCTTTTACTGCTCCTTTCACATCTTGTTCTGGTTCAGCTTCTTTCGGCTTCCTTGTGCAAATTTACACTTTTTTCCAGCTACTTTCATCTAACTTCAGCTGTTTTTTTATTTCAGCTGTTTTGTGATCCTTGCAGATTATTTCTGCTAAATAAAACATGTTTGTGTTTTTTCTAACTTCTTTCTTCTAAATTCAGCTTGTTGTGCTCCTTTCAGCTAATTTCTACAAGTTTCAGCTTTGTCTGCTATTCCAGCTACTATTTAGTTTTTTAATGGTAATTTTAGCCTGTTCAAATATTTCCACATTTTTTTGCCCTCATTTAATTTTTTTCAGCCTAATTCAGCAAAAATGTGCTCTCTCTACTTCCTTTTGATAATTTAAGCTTCTTATAGTTGTTTTAGCTACTATTCAGCTGGTTTTTTTCTCATTTCAGATTTTTTCAGATAATTTCCACCTTTTTTTACTCATTTCTGCTTCTTTCAGCATAATTGGGCAAATGTATTATTTCTGCTAATTTAAGCTTGTTCTACCTTTTCAACTACCTTTGTATAATATTTTTTAGCTAATTTCAGCTATTTTCATATTTTTGTTGTAATCTCTGCTATACTTTGAGCATAATTAACTTCTTTCTGCTAATTTCAGCTTGTTATTCTCTTTTCAGCTTATTTTTGTTTCAACTTTATCTGCTATTTCAGCTACAGAAGCTGTTTTATGCTAAATTAACTTTTTTAGCTAGTTCTACATTTTTAGCTCATTTCAGCTCCTTCTACTTCCTTCTGGTAGTTTAAGCTTATTTCTGCCTTTTCAGCTACTTTACTTTTCTACTTTACTTTTATTTTATTTTTTTATTTCAGTGTTTTTAGCTAATTTCTTAATTGCTGTGCTAATTTATGTTTATTTAAACCTAATTCAGTAAATATGAGTTCTTTCTGCTTTCTTCTGTTAACTTAGGCTTGTTCTTTCCATTCAGCTACATTTCAGCATGATTTTAGCTCGTTCCAGCTGTTTTTCAGAAAGTTCTTCACATATCAGCATTCACACTGCATTCTCGCAGGAAATGCAATCTCTCTAATTAAGTTTATTGTTGCCACTTTCAATCTTTTTTCTTTTTTTGCCAGTCTAAAACCTTACAGCAATCCAAAATGTACGAGCAATATCCAAAGTGATGGTCCTTCATGATTTATGCACAATTTAAGACTAAGTTTGAACTATGATAATTGCATATTAAAACATTAATGTGTGATTGTTTTCATTGTTCTGTAGTTTATTCATGTTTCCTGGGACAAGGAAGAGCCAAATCCAATTTACTTGTCCCACCTCAGCTTCCTGGACTTGACCACCAAGCTGAGCCAAGAAAAGGATGAAAACTGGTCGAGCAGCACGGAACACACCAGTGACCTTGGAGAGTCCGTTTGTGGTTCCCTGTTCATCCCTGGATACTCTGGTTCAAACAGTGATTCTGTTCCTTATGCGACTGTGTTGTTCTCCAGCCCGGGCAACAGCCCTCTCCCTAAGGAGCCTCATGTCTACCTGCGCTCAGAATCCACCCAGCCCCTTTTGGAAACAGAGGAATCCTTCAGCCCAAAATGCTACCAGAATGTGTCAACTAAAGGGACGCCAAGCGAGCAGTGCTTTTTTGGGCCATGTAATGATTGTGTACCAGAAAGAGAGGAAGATCCAGACATTGTTTGGGATGACTTTCCTTTTCTTCGAGCTTTAGCTATTACTGATTCTGAAAACGACTGAAAATATTGCACTGATTGGGACGAGGTGCTATTTTTCTATAACGAGATTAAACTTGATCCAACATGCAAATTGAACTTGAAAAATTTAACAAATTGAACAAATCACTTTATTGTATAATGATTTTGATGGTCATGATTAGTTTTTGTCATGCTTTGTATATACACTTCCAAAAAAAATAAACCTTTTTGTGTTTTTCTGTGTTGTTGATCATATGTATAAAGATAAAATTCAAATTTCTCTCATGTGTTTAAAATTAAGCGCCAAACAAGGGGCGCATATTTCTGGATGCACTTTTTTCAGTTATCGTTGGGTAGATTTACTTTTAAATTTAATGTGATGTGTAACATTTGGAGGTGACTATGCCACAGTGACCCACTCTTCTGTATGTCTGATTAAAATATATTTACTGCCTTCAGTGGAATGGATATGTATAAACCATGATGGTCTTTAAAATAAAGAAATAAAATTAGCTGAGCAGGCGAAGGATGGACTATGCATTAGTGCTTTACCTCAAGAAACAACAGTTGTTGTTGTTGTTGTTGTTGTTGTTGCTGTTGTTGTATGCATAGATTTTTGTGCTAAGTTTCAAATTTGTATAGACATATTTTTCTGTTTATCTGGTACTTTAATGACCTTACTTGGTAACAGCATCTGTTCTAAATGTGCTCTATAAGTAAAGTTGACTTGACTACTTAAACCTAAAATGAAATAATGACAAATGTCCATCCATCCATCCATCCATCCATTATCTTTACCCGTTTATTCCATTTTGGGTCACGGGGGTCGCCGTTGCCCATGTCCAGCAATCACTGTGCGAGGGGCGAGGTACACCCTGGACGGGTCTCCAGTCCATCACAGGGACACGTAGAGACAAACGAGACAAACAACCATTCAGTCTCTCACACACCTAGGGACAATTTAGAGTTACCAATCAGCCTAACATGCATGTTTTTGGTCTGTGGGAGGAAATCGGAGCACCCAGAGAAAACCCATGCATGCACGGAGAGAACATGCAAACTCCACCCAGAAAGGGCCCTGGACCAGGGTTTGAACCAGCGACCTGCTCACTGAGAAGCAGCAGCTCTACCAGTTGTGCCACCGTGCTGCTTCGTGATTTTTCCATGTTAGCTGTTCATCAATGATTACGCCCCAAAATTTCATATCATTAACTCTACAAATCTCATCACCCTCAATTTTAAATGGATCATCAACCGTTCTCTTTTTGTTACTGAATATCATGTATTTAGTTTTATCTAAATTTAATGATAATGTATTAAGTTTAAACCAAGTTTGTATTTTATTAAATTATGTCTTCATCAATTCCAACATCCGTTTTACGTCTTTACCCAAACAAAAAAATGTGGTGTCATCTGCAAAAAGGACACATTTAAGGAGTCCTGATACATTCACTAAGTCATTCACATATAAAATAAATAACTTTGGTCCAAGTACAGAGCCTTGAGGAACTCCACATGTGATATTGCAGAGGTCAGATCTTACACCATTTATTTGTACAAACTGTTTCCTGTCTTTCAAACAGCTAGATACCCAGTGTAATGCTTATCCTCTTATACCATATTTATTCACTTTTTCAAGGAGAATAGTGTGGTCAATAGTATCAAATGCTTTTTTTTAAATCAACAAAAATACTAACACAATGTTGTTTTTGATCGACAGCACTAGTTATTTGCTCTATTAATTCCATGAGAGCCATTGATGTAGTTTTTTTTTTTTGCTCTAAACCCATACTGACTGCTACTTAGAATATTTGATTTACTGAGTTGAAAAAAAAATGGAGATTTCTTCTAGGAGTCTCATTATTGTCTTGCTAGAACTCAAATGCATTTACTTAAAAATGTGTTTTCGATACGATTTGAGGATTTTTGTTTCGTTTTAGGCAAACTGTAGGCATGTTCTCTTTTCTATCGATGTGCTCTGGGATCGTTAGTTTAGCCTGCAAACGCTGTCCTTCTTTCAAGATCGGCTAGTTAGGACTAGCCAAAATGGCGAACCTCATGTAGGGGTCGAGTGTGATTACATGTCGCATTTGAAGCACTTGTAGGGGAGTTATTTTCTACCTTTTCAGCTATTCTTTGAGCCATGTTGCTAAACCTTGGCCTTCGGGCCGTTCTGAAGTCGTCAGCGGGTGTTTTGCGTGAAAGCTCCGCTCGTTGCTCCGCGGTGTCAGTCAAACCCTGGACGTGCAGCTCGGCCCTTTTACCAGCACCGACAATTAGCAGAAGTAAGTAAAAGAAAACCATGAACCAGAGGAGGATTTGCTACATCGTGAGATGACTAATCCACACATCTGTATGTGCAGCTGTTGTCAGTCTTTTAACTGTTTCACGTTAACCAACGACGTAGCGGTCGGTGCTGTTGACAAAGTTCGAGACGTTTGTGTTAAATACCTTATTATCTTACCTATTTTTATAATTAATAGTTATATAATGTACCTTAATGTCAATAACCGAGGCCATTTTTTATTATTATTCTTAATTGGATATAATTCGTCTGCACCGTAACGTTTTAAACGTGTTCTCAGGTTTACACGATGAATTCTCTTCTGTGTCACTAGAGGGCGCTGCTGTGACATCATAGACAACAAGAGACCCTGGTTCAGTTTCCATTTGAACAATTTTCTGGATAAATTTTCCACTATTTGACTATAAAAATAATACGAGTTTACAATGGAACACTGTGAGCGTAATCACAGTTTAGAGAAACTGTCCGGGTCACTAGCTGGAGCTGGGTTTTTCATTCAACAGGTTAATCCCATTGAGCCTCCAGGACTCATTTACAAGAGAGACCTGATTTCAACAAAGAGTGATGACAACAACGACAACAATAGATAATCATAAAAGAGGCATACAGATTTATTTGTTTATTTTTTGTTTGTTGTTGTTGTTTGTGTTGTTTTTGTTTTAGTCCAACAATGGACTAAGACACTTCAGCCTCAAGCATTATAACAGTTACATCCAAAATCCTGAAAGCACGAATGTTTGTTTAGATCAGTGACGAAGTAGGGTTGCTGCAATGCGTTAAAATTATAAATCTAAAAAAAAAATCAGGAAAATGTAGACTGTTGACTGACTGCGGCCGCAGTGTGTTTCTGGGAACACTTCCACTTTGTGAAAATTGCACTTTCCCGTGAAACGATGCCAGAAGTTTTGAAAAAAACGTCCACTCTGCGGCCCTGTTGACATGGTGCCATTTTTAAGTGAAACCGTAATGATTCTGTTGATTTTGACCATTTGTGTACATGACGAAATTGGTCATTTTATCTGACACAAACTATTTGAATCCACATCTCAGAGTGGAAAGGTTCAAAAACGCCTTGCGTCATTTCAAGGGAAATTGCAACTTGTGTGAAATCGCGCAGGACAGCAAACAGCTGCAGTCAATAGTTTTTCCTTTGCTTGTGCAGGTAAATGAACAACAGCAACAATGGTGGATTACCCTTTTCAATTTATCAGAGCTTCTGACACAGAACGTATGTGTGCTGCACCATTTCTTGGGTCAGTGGAGACACGTCACTCACGTTCTACAAATACTGTCGGTCCAAACAAACGTTTTCATGCTTGACACTGAAGTTTCTCTGTTTGTGTCTGTGTCATTGAAGTATACAAATCACAGCGCCAGCTAGTGAGCTGACATAATCACTTCAGTAAATTCTGTTTTTGCAGTCTCATCTAAACGACGACTGATGACGGCAACGTTTCCGCAGTCAGCACCTGAAAATATTTCCAGAGATCATTCACGTGTAAACGGTGTTAAAGATTTCAATCACTTTTTTTCCCAATCTGCTGTTTTCATTAAAACCACTACAACAAACTTTGCACTGAAAATCTGGAGACTTCTATTCGTGCTAGAGTGGCGACATTTGTACTATTCTTCCCATATTATGAAGTTAATAATTAATTTCTGATCCAAAATCAACTCTGCAAACACTCTTCTAGTGTAACACAATTTATTTAAAGCCGAAGCCTTCAGTACAGCTGTTAAGTTACTGAAATATTCAAGCTAATTTGTCATAAAAGTAACACCGTGATGTGTTTGAAACCCACCATCTACATGAATAAAAAAGTAAAACAAACGTTAAAATGCAAAATATTAACCAACAACAAATCAGTCATCGCATTTGTGGTTTCACTAACAAATCCACCATGTTCCTTTGTAAATGTTTTCATATTTTCTTTAAACGTGAAAAATAGATTGAAATACAAGACCCTGTATCCATCAAATCAAATATTTAACCAAAATATTAGAAGTATCGTTCAAATGCGGTGTCTAGAAAGAGACTGTGTTAAACTGAGGTGATTGAACAGAAGCCGGGTTGACTCTTAACAAACTTTATGATCCTGAAACTCCCAACTCGGAACCAAAGCAGAATTTTGACTGAGCGGTACAATGTCTTGGGTACTAACATAACAAGTCTTGTTTCCTTCAAGTCGAGTGTTTAATTCTTTTTGTATAGGAAAAAAAAGATCACTCAAGAAAGGATACTTGCACATGATCCTATACATCAATTAATCATTTCTGCTGTTTTATACATGTGGGGCTTATTTGTTTTATGCACAGTAATTGGAAAAAACTTAAAATGTAATGTTTAATAACTGACAACCTTTTCAGTAGTTAACACATAAAACTTTCAAAAGAGCCCAGGCTAACACAATCATTAGTTTAATGCTTCAAAGTCTTGCATTGTCTAAAATATTTGTGTTTGTGCGCTGTCGCTTGCACTTCATCTGCTCAGTCTTTCTTATCGTCTTACCTAAAGCCTGTAGAGAAGCTCTACTTTCATTTCCCACAAATACAATTGTTACAAAAACTAAGAGGCAAAAATGTAAATTCATCAAAACTGGAAGAAGCGACGAAGCATGGGATATAAAAGCGGATACAAAAAGACAGCGTTACTGAAAAGCCATTAAATGCAATTAAAGGCCAAAGAAGATAAACGTATTCTAAGCTGTGTTTGCAAAAGCTTCGACCGAGAGAGCACACTTGATCAAGAGTGGAAGATTGTTCCACAGCTCCATTTCTAACTGATCTACAATATGGAAGAAGTGTCTGCAGATAAGAATGCAGGTGTCAGGCCATGCAGAGCTCTTTTAAAAACGGCCAGTGAAGAGACGCTAATACGCGAGTGGTGCTCGTTCATTTCCTGGTTCCTGTTAGGAGTCCAGCAGCAGAATTCAGAACTGCTGCAGACAAAACAATGTAGGCTGGTTGATGCCAAAATAAAGCGTTCTAGTGATCCATCCTGGAGGTGAGAAATGCTGAATTAGCTTTCTTCAATATGTTATTAGAGGGAATGGGTTTAAGTTTGGAAACGTTTCTTCATTGTGGAAAACATCTCTTTCAGTTTTAACAGATTTAAAAAGTAACAGACTGTCCAAAATGACTCAGAGGTGCCTAATGTTGTCATGAAGATCAAATGAGTTTGGCCATTACCGTACTTGCTGCCGTACACGTCGCACCACCGTTGCATCAGTCCAGAAATGTCTAATAAAGTGGAGAAAAAAAACGTAAGTTCCTTCTCCGTATAAGTCAGTGTATAAATACAGTGGCTTCAGGAGCGTGCACAGGAGGACTTTAACAAGAATTTAACCAGATTAACACTTAAAAGCAATCATTTGCTCAAAATTATAGCAACAGTGCATCTCAGTTTAACTTGTCCTTAATAAATGCACTTTAACGGTTATATCAGCTGCATTTCAAAAATCGATTTGTGGCTGTGGGAGCGCACAGAGGGACGACTCGCTGTGCATTTCTTCAAAATGTAACAAGATAACCGCCTAAAAACAATTATTTGTTTGCTCATCATTATAGCAAAGGTGTGTCTCAGTTGAACTTGTCCTTAATAAATGCACTTTAATGGTCAAATCGGCTGCATTTCGCCTGGGCGGCGCAGAGAAATGCAGCCGATTTGACGTTTGCTCCAGGATTTCCGGAGCGAGACGAAGGTGGCTCAATATGGCAAGCCAAGTGTCTCATTAATAGCCTCTTTTACCTGTTAATGAGACACTTGGCTTGCCATAATGCTTGAGGGCCCAGGCCTCCCTTGCAAAAGAGATCTGTGATCTCAATGGGATTTGCCTGGTTAAATAAAGGTTCATAGCTGCTGCAAATGGTAATTTTTAATATTTTTCATGTCTGAATGAATGAAATCATCAAATCTCAGCTAAAACTTTGGTTATAAATATGGGGAAAAAAACGTATATTAGTCGTGTTGGTGTATAAGTCGCAGGACTTGCAAATTTATGCAAAAGTGCGATTTATATGCCGGCAAATATGGTATTTGGAAAATAATGGTGTTTGAAAGGCAAACAATAATAAATAGCACTGCAAATGATGAGAAATGTCACGAAAATTGGGCATAACTTATATATTATCAGTAATAATAAGCATGTGCTGGATTTCTTATAAAAAGAGGATGCAATAATATTTGAGGAAGTTGACTCGTTTTTAATTTTTCTCAAATTGAAAACCACAGCCCTCTCGCCATCAGATAACGTTTTATTTGAGGTGCAGGACCGACACGTAGTTTATCCTGGTTGTGCTCATAAAATTCTGCTCAACGCCACAGATCTGTTGCATCATCTGAGATTATTTTTACAGTAAAAAAAACAAACAAAAAAAAAGCTCCTCTCTTTCATTAACCCCTCACGGGCTGGTTTGTTCAGCCAGAAGATGTTTCTCCACATGGAAGTGCAACGGTTCGAAATTGTGATGCAAAACCAGCAGACTCTTCTGTCTGCAAAGCTTTGCTTTCTTAGAATTTTGTCTCCTCAATCAGCCGCTACTTTATCGAACTTCTTCTGTATTTAAAGAGCCGTCACCGCTAAACTGCTCGAGTCTCTATTTTTCTCACCATTCGAACAGCTTCATGTGTGAAAATAACTTGTTTCCTCTCAGTTGCAGGAAGCTTTGCTGTCACAACACCAGTAAGACACTATGCCAGAGGGACAAAGAATAGAAAGACCGGTACTTAGACATGTTTTTCACCATGCCCACACTTTTTTTTTTTTTTGCTTATATATTTTTTGTGTTTATTCTGAGCATCTGCTTTCTTTCAGTCCCCGAGAGCCATCTCAGTGATCTTCACCCAACAATGCTGAAGTTCGATTATGCATCTGTCCCTCTTGCTCAAACGTAAACTTTTTTTTTTAAAACAACTCTAAATAAAATCTGATTTACCAAATTAGTAACAGCGTATATATATATATATAGTAGTGATGGTCCTGTGATCTCATTATATTTTCTTCTTACAGAACTGATGATCTTGTCAAACGTCTTCTTTCATTGGAGCTGGCGAGACATGTAAGGACTCCTGCCTCACTTTATTCTGATCTTCAGTCGTCTGTAATCCTCAGATTATGTCACTTGCTGAACTAAGCTGTAACCCAACAGGAGTCTGAAAAAAGTTACTCGCGTTTTTTCTTTCGAAAATCAAATTGAAACGAACAAAACCAGTGTCAGTTAAATGTATTTGCTTTAAGAACCTCGTCATTTTGACTGTTTTAAGAAACGTGACGAGCAAAGAAGCTACATGTAAACGTTTAATTTGTTGTTTGTTTTAAGAACGGGCTTTATGCACGTTCAGTTCCATTTCTATTTCAAAAGATGGTGTAAGTTTAATTTAATTTGATGGTAATTCATATTTTAAACCCTAAAAGTTAACTTTTTTCCCTCCAAATGTTCAGAGTAAATGATGTTGCACTGTACGTTATGTTGTTGCAACAAATATTCACATAGTAGCAAACAAGACAGACTTAACTGTTCGTTCATGTTTGCTTTTGGATTGTGGGAGGAAGCTCACACATTCAGACAGAGAACATACAAATTTCCACACAGAACGACCCCCGCCGAGAGTTGAACCTTTGACCTTCTTGCTTCAAGGCAGCGGTAGTAATCAAATGTTCCACTGTTCAGCCCACTTCATGAGAATAAAATCACAAACCACCTCAACGCTCGAGTATTATTCTATTTGAGGGATTATTGTGTCATTCCAGCCCATCTACGTATACAAGGCAATATCTTGACTGATAATAGTTCTGATGTTCATGTTGTCAGAGTGACAAACTACAAATGAAGACGGAGCAACTGATTGCAAAGGTCCGACAGGATGAGACGGATCACAGCTCAGTAGAAGTCCAGGGTGAGAAGCTGTTTTATGAAGTGAAACTGAAAGTCGGACACAACTATAAACTGAGTGAAGGCTCAATTCCTCTTCTGCATTTGGTCTTTTCAGTGGCTATTCTGACTGCGAGAATTCGAAACTATCAGGAGCATCTGCAAAAGCACCACAAGGTGAGAAAAACACCCGACGTTGTTCAGAACGATAAATAAAAACGGAATGCAACAATCTGCAGCGCTCATGAACCCGTATTTAATTTACAGTAAAGCTCCATAAACATCTAATATCCAAACTAAGATATTGCACCGTTTTTAAGGAAAAATCAATTAATTATGGTGGCCATTTTGTCACCCAAGCATTTTGTAACTAGCTTAAATGAAACGAGGTCAGCGAGAAGACTGGGTGTAAAAAGCCCGTTCTAAAATGAATGTCTCAGTTGAGAAGATGAGATGTTGAGAAGACACTGAATATTCCATTATGTTCATAATATTTTGTAAGGCCTTCAAGAAGTCTGTGTCCGATGCTCGTGATCTTTGGGCCCTCAGGAGACACTGCATTTAAATTAGGGATGGGGACAATCCGGGATCGGGATCGGCCTCCGATACCAGCATTAATTACGTATCGGATTTTTCCGATCCAACCTGCAGAGATCCGTGAAGCATGTCTGTGTCTGTTGAAACATCTCCCCGTGTGAGTCCCTGCCGGCTGCTCTGCACGTTGTCTTCAAACTGTGGAATGGATTTCCTGAACGGAGGCGTGTCTCATGAACCCAGAGTAATAAGACCCGCCTCACATTCAGGAAATCCAGTTCATAGTTTGCAGCAGCTACAACGTGCAGTAGCACTGTGGCTAACGGCTAACCAACTTTTCATCTAAACATGTCCGCTGTGTGGAAGTATTTTACACTAGAAACACCACAAAGCAAGACGGCAACGTGCAATGTCTGCAGAGCCATAGCGCCACGTTAAACCGCGGTAAAGTTAGTTTTACGATGGACATTCGAGCTCCGTGGCTTCAGCGATTCACTCCTCTCGCTCAACCGAAACAGGCAGCTCGACCCCGGCCAGCCGCGCCCAATCCACCCCGCTCAGTCTGCCCGTCTCGGAGGAGGGGCAGACTGAGCGCGGCTGACTGAAATCAGACTGTCTGCTTCGGATTGAACAAGAAGAAGACACCGCTGAAGCCACGGAGCTCGAATGTTTACTGAGAAGTTGCTAAACTTCATCTTCATCGTATTTAATGGCCAACTGCTATCAGTTGTAGAAAACAAAGGATTTTGCAGCTTGATATTTGCAGCAAAGATATAATTTACCCTCCAGGAGATAATTATCAGTACAACAGTAGACAATCATAAAAAAAGCAAATGAATTGAAAATGACAAGAAAATTATATTTAAAAAATGAAACAAAAACAGCTACATTATAAAGTGATGTCAAATTCTAAAAACAGAACATTTCTGTGTTGGTTTATGCCATGAACTTAGCAGATGTTTAAAACCATTGAATTTTTTTAATTCATTCATTTAAAAGAAACAGAAACAAAACCATCATAAAAAAATAAAAAAAAACATTGAATGAATAAAGTGCAGAAGGAAGAAAAAAGTTCTTATAATATCTGCCCCTTATTTTAAAAAATATATAAAATAACTTTAAACAAACAGTCACTTAAATTAATCACCTTAATTTCCACTTTAAAGCTAGGAATTTAAAAAAAACACATGTTTTGTTAGAATTTAATTCTAACTTTGAAACTTATCCAACATTAATAAAACTTACTTGCCTTTTTGGACATGCATGCATATATTTGTACAAATTGTACTTGAGAGGAGATTATTACAGCCTCATATAAAATCAATAATGATGATGATATCGGAAAAGTATATCGGAAAGGTATATATCAGCCGATATCCAGATTTGGGGATCGGATCGAATGTAAAAAAAAAAAAAAAGTGGATCCGTGCATCCCTAATTTAAATCAGATCTGATTCTCTTGTTGACATCACTGCACGGGCTCAGGAACACTTCCACAAATTTTCACTGTGCCAGAAACATTTGATATTTTTCCAGTGTGAATAAAATATGTATTATGAGGAGGAGTAGTAGTAATTGCTGTAGTAGTTGTAGTAGTAGTAGTAGTAGTAGCAGTAATAGTAGTAGTAGCAGTAGTTTTCTTCCTTGCACACTAAACAGTTCTGACATATTTTAAAAGCAGAATTAAACGTGCTTCGGGGGAGTTAGCCTTTTATCGTGAGAGGTTTTGCGAATCAATTTCCTCTCTCACTGACTTCCTTTGATGTGAGGTATGCATGTGTTACAGGATATCCTGCGTTCTAGCCCACATGAAATAAAAGCTTGCACATGCACAACCATGGTCAAAAGTTTCCGTATTACGTCACACTTAAAAGACTCCTCTTTAAATTCATACAATCAGCATGTAGAGGTTGTACATTTAAAACGGTCTCTGTTCAACTCAACTGAATTTCTTTTCATGTTAACATCAGGACAAAGCCAACAAGAGGCGGATGCTCATGTCTATTGACAAAAGAAAAAAGCTCCTGAAAAACCTCCGATTGGTTCGTTATGAGGCTTTTGAGAGAGTGTGTGAGCAGCTGGGCATCACCTACACCTTCCCCCCAGAGTACTACAGACGGGTGACCAAGCGCTGGCTGGCCAAGAAAGAACTCTGCAAAAGGGTGAAGAACATTATTTTTAGATTTTTATATAGACTAATGTTTACTGTGTTTGATAACATATCATTACAAGTTCCTCGGGGCATTGCTTGAATGTTTTTCTCCGCCTAACACTTGTCATGTTTTTTTTTTTCCAGGTCTTTAGAGCTGTGCAGGCACAGAAGACAGAGCAGAAGCTGAAGCTGGAGCAGAGTCTAGAATCCGCAAAGTCGAAAGAAGCCAGCACAGCAAAAGTTTAGTCCAATAAAACCAATATTCAGTACAATTAATAAATTCTAATGTTGTCTTATTTTCACCTCCGATTGTCTTATATCATCTGTTACTAGGCCTGTCACGATAACAAATTTTGCTGGGCGATTAATTGTCTCAGAAATTATTGTGATAAATGATAATGTTTGAAATTTGACAATAATTACTAATTATTAGTGATTATTGTCAAATTTAAGAAGAAATGTTTAATTTGTTTTGTGTGTAGTACCTTATTTTGACCACCGGATGGCAGTATAAGACTGTTTGAACCGAAGGATGGATAGTGAGGGAGCAGCAGCGTGTCTCTTTAAGAAAAATGGGAGGGAGGCCCCTTGACGTGACATGGGTTGTCTCTCTTCGGTTCGCAAAATGGCAGATGCTCGGTGGGCTTTGAGCTCTTTAGCATAGCATCCGTCACACAAAGCTTTTAATAAAAAATTATTAAACAAGTTCTCTGCTCCTTTTTGCAGAGAAAAACAACTTTACACGAAGACACGGGTTTCATCCGTAAATTTTGGAGCTTTGACAAGACGGAAATTTTTTCCTGAGGTCAACCTGTTAGCTTAGCTTCTCAGTTTAGCTGCTTTTAACGATCCAAAAATGCGATTTTGGACGGTTAAAATGCATTTTAAAGAGAAAGGGCGTGGTCAGTGAAGAGCACCGGAGTTTAGCTTTTTGTCATTCAGTGTCTTCAGTAAAAAGTGAGACACGAAGAAACGATAAAGCCGATGAATGAAAATGAGGTAGATAATTTTCTTTTATCATGCGATTAATTGATTTATTATTTATCGTGACAGGCCTATCTGTTACCAACTTAATTAGTTAGATCGATGGCACAGATATTCAAACATTTCAGATTGTAATGGAAATAAGTTGTTCCTGAGAACTTTAATAAAATTAAATTTGAGCAAATTTACTGAGTTTTAATTAGTATTATTAATTAGTTTTAAACGTTTGACGCCAATTTAATTTGTTCAAAGTATTCACTGAACTGGTTAATTCAGATTACCAAAATATTTAAACATTAAAAGATGCAAATAGGGGTGCAACTGAAATAATTTTATTTTTCAGTTCAGTTTATTTATATAGCGCCAAATCACAACAGAGGTTATCTCATAGAAACATGCACATACATAAAAAGTCAGTTAATAACATTATTTATGTAAGGAGCCTTAGCTAAATAACCAGCCTGCGAACGTAACGGTACGTGAAAGGAGAACTAAATCACATGGCAGAGAGCCACTATTGCTTTATCTGTGGTTTATCACAATCCACACTATTGTACTTTTGTCATAGAAGTTTCCCATGTGCAGTCAAAGGTAAAATCCCCATTTTTATGCAATAGCAAACAGCAGCTTCCCCTGTTTGAGCAGTGTTTTGCAGCAGGAGGCACAGGTTTCCATTAAAGTTGTTTTCTTCAGTATCTAAATGCTTAGCCGTATAATTTTATTTAGATTATTTAAATGGCTTTAGGTTCATACCATACCATTTTATTTATAGAGCACTTTAAAGAGTGGCAGGGCCAACCAAAGTGCTGTACAAACAGGCAAAGCAGACGGCAACATATAATGTAAAATCTAAATGTAGAAACAAAATAATAGCAGATAATGACTAACACAGTGTGATGCATACAGGTTAAACAGATCATACAGTGCTGAAAGTCGGAATAGTAGTGGGTTTTTAAGTGGGATTTTAAAACTGAGGGAGGGTCAACCAGTTACACAGAATAAATGGCAAATGGACTACTTACCGTATATAGTGCCTTTCAATCTAATCAAGATACTTGAAGTGGTTTACACTAGAATCTGTGCCCTCTTTTACCCATTCATGCAGCACTGTACTAGATCTCTACAAAGCAAATCTGAATCTGTGGAGACTGCTTTAAGATCACATTCATACGCCGATAGGACACACATCGAAGGTCTTGCCCAGGGACACTTCAACATGTGACTGTTGGAATCAAACCCCCAACTCTCCCATCGGAGGGAGACTGCTCTAACCACTCAGCCACAGCTGCCTGGTTACTGCTCACGAGTTGTGAGCAATATGGACACGCAAAAACGGTGAAGACCTGGTGAAAGTTTCTGATTTTAACATGAAATTCTTATTGGTTACAATACTACAGTTTAGGTTTCTTTGTATATCCAAATAAATAAAGCATTACATGTAAAAGTATCACTTCCAACTGTTTGACATTTTAGATTTGTGAAGTTCCAGTAAAGTTTCAAGCAACTCAGTCCTCCAAAACAAATGCATCGCCTGTGTGTGTTTCCAGTACATGAATATGAATGCTGTCTTTTACTGTTTGTCAGAGGAGCATTTTGCAGCTGCATGCAGTTTCAGATCATGAGCAAATCCATATCTTCTTTCACAAACTGCTGTACTACGTTGGTTAGAACCACAGGCCTTAAAGGACGTGATGTACTGTGGGTGTTACATGGAAAGTGTGTTTTTAATAATTCTCACAGGTACAAACGTTTCCAGAACAGAGTATGTGAGATTACGAATTGTTTTATAAGTAAAGCCATCTCCGTGCAGAAGTTTACCTGTCACCATCGGCAGCCTCCAAGTAACGCAACGGTTCTGGTTAATTGGCCCGGTTTGAATCAGAACAGATCTTTGTCATCCTCAGAAACAGCAGTTGTTGGTTGTTTTTTTGGCAAACCAGCGTTTCACAGCTCGAGTTCGTCACAGCTTCCTGTGTGGTGTGCTTCTTGTCAGTTTGATCGGGAGGAGTTCAGACTCTCTGACACTTCTGGTAAGTGACATCTACATTTTCTCTGGCAGTAGATCAGCTTAAAAATTCTCTGGGATTTTAATTAAATTGTTAAATTTGCAAACCATGATAGAGGGCAGGTAACGGCTTTATTTTGGATTTCATGTCACTTAGGCAATAAGTTATTTATATGGCTCCATAATCCCTCCTTATTTAACTAGTCTATTTATACAGCACGCATATTCAACTGGGATTGTGGAAAGTAAAATATTTCTTGGAGATTACATTTTTACACAGAAGGATTTGACTGGAAATACAAGTGCATCTGTTATTTAATGCATCAAAACAAATTCAATAATATGAGTTATTCAACCTCACCAGTGGTAGAGAAAGTACTCAAACACTACTTAAGTAAAAGTACAAATAAACAGACAAAAATGTACTCTAGTAAAAGTAGAAGTACCACATTAACATTTTTACTTAAGTAAAAGTAAATAAGTACTTGCTTTTAAAATACTTAAAGTATTAAAAGTAAAACTTGCTGAATGTATTACCTAATGTAATGGTCTACATATCTTTAAGTCTACGTTCCATATGTATATTTTCTGTAATGCATTAATAGTGTTGAGCCATTTTAATGAACGATGCTGCAGATAATACATGTTTTTATTGTGTTTACTCTGTGACACAGTTCACACTTGGACTAGTGATCCTGTGCATCAGAATTTCAGGGATGACGTGCAGATTTAAATGCCATTAATCAAAATAAGAAATAGGAATGATTTTACCTTTGAAAGTTTTTATTTAACACAAATCAAAACCAAAGTGTCATTTTAACTGCAGTAAACACATTTAAGTAAAAGTTGTCTGTCTGAAAAAAGGAGCATTAGACCTAACAAATGAATAGATACTGATCATTTCAACTCCAGTTTTTCATCAACTCTAGTTAAAATACTGTCCAGTCAACCTTGTAATGGGTCAATATTGAACAATATTTTAACTTCCTGACACCGTTTTTAAAACTTGGACCTGAGTGTTGAGACATTTGGAGACATCTCTTGTCTTGTCATGAACTGACACATTTTAATATTGCAACAAGAATTTCTTGTTCAAGTTCAGAAGAAGTTGGTTTTCAAAGATTTTGAGTCCAGTCTGGCTCTTTTGGGAGAGAGAATCTGTCCTGTTGTACTGAGCAGTCTTTCAATAAGGTCATGGGTGGCGTGTATCTTCTGGGTGACTCTCTTGCGGTGGAATACATTTTGGGTGTGCTAGTGGTGCTGTGGGTGCACCCAGCTCAGCGACATATATACTACAATACATGTCATTGGCCCAGCTCTTCTTGAAGGTAAGCCTAACGTTACCTGCCCACTTTGCAGTGATTCGCTGGACCAACTCCCCTCTCACCATCGTTACTTTCAAAGTAACAAACAAATCAAAAAGCTGCAACATGAATGTAACTTGTAATGCAACGCATTATAGAAATGTAGTGTAGTAGAAAGTACAGATACTTGATGTAAAATGTAGTGAAGTAAAAGTATAAAGTACCCACATTTAACTCTACTTAAGTAAAGTACAGACACACGAAAAATGTACTTGAGTACAGTAACGAAGTATTTGTACTTAGTTACATCCCACCACTGAACCTCACAGACTAAAAGAAGAAGAGCTTAAGCCCTCTAGTATAACCTAAAGTGTTTTATAGCTGCCTTTTGTGCTTTTAACTGTCCCAAAATCCAAACTGGTCCACAGAGGTGATTAGGTCTTTAATTAGGCTCCAGTCCACAGAGGTGATCGAGTGCACCAAGTCACAATAGAAGTCATCTCAGAGCACTGAACAGAAACATTCACATAAAAGTAAGCTAACGTTATTTATCTGATGATCAGACTGCTTTGAATTTAACTTCATCGCAGAACTCTCATCCTGAGCAAGCATGAAGGCGACAGTAGAAACAAAAATCTCCCTCATGAAGAAGAAACTCCAGCAGAACCAGGCTCAGGCCAAGCGGTCATCTGCTTCGGCTGGCTGGGTTTGAGAGGAACAGGAAGGAGGAACAGATACACAATGGCAGGTGGAGAATCACGTTATGATAGAAATATTATCAAACACAAACTATTCATATATATGCATTTGTAACTATCGTATTAATTTTAAGAAATGTGGACAATTTATCCTCCAGTAGTCTTAAGTTTATGGCAGATTAAACAAGCCAACCCTAATTATAGGATTTATCAAAATGGAAAATTTTAAGCCCAGTCTTAAAACTGGACAATGTGTCAGCCTTACGGGCAGAAACTGGAAGTTGGTTCCACAAGAGGAGCCTGATAACTGAAAGATCTTCCTTCTATTCTGCTTTTGGAAACCCTAGGGACCGCGAGTAAACCTGCAGTCTGAGAGTGAAGTGCTCTGATGGGAAAATATGGAACAATAAGATCTGTAATATGGAGCTAGGTTGTTGAGGGCTTTGTAGATTAGAAGTAAGATTTTGAATTCAACTCTGGATTTGACAGGGAGCCAATGGAGAGAAGCTAAAACTGGAGAAATATGATCTCTCCTACTAACTCCAGTTAAGACTCTGGCAGCAGCATTTTGAAGACATGAAAACTGAAGACATTTTAAAGAAGTATTTGGACACCCATATAATAAACCATTGCAATAGTCCAGTCTAGATGTGACAAATGCATGGACCAGTTTCTGCATTATTTTTAGATAAAATGTTTCTAATTTTAGTGATTTACGCAGGTGGGAAAAAGCGTTTCTGGTACGTTTTTAATGTGGGGGTTAAAAGACATGTCCTGGTCAAAAATTACACCAAGATTTTTAACATTAGAGCTGGAGGCCAAATTAATGCCATTTAGAGTTGGTGAAAGACTGAAAAATGGATTCCTAAGATCAGGTCCAAAAACCAAAACCTCAATCTTGTCTGTGTTCAAAAGTAGAAAATTAAGGGTCATCCATGTTTTTATGTCTTCATGACATGCTTGTAGTCTAAGTAGCTGATTGGATTCATTGGGCGTCATGGACAAATATAACTGTGTATCATCAGCATAACAATGAAAATTGATCCCATGCTGTTTGATAACTTTACCTAATGGAAGCATAAAGTAAATGATATTGGTCCAAGCACTGAACCCTGAGGAACTCCATGACTAATTTTAGTGTAAGAAGAAGACTAATTATTTACATTTATAAACTGGAATCTTTCAGATAAATATGATTTAAACCAATTTAGAGCTGTTTCTGTAATCCCAGTATCATATTCCACTCTCTGTAGTAGAATATTGTGATCAGCAAATGCAGCACTGAGGTCTAACAGGACCAGTGTAGACACCTGTCCATTGTCAGAAGCCATGAGAATCTCATTAGTAACTTTCAACAGTGCTGTTTCTGTGCTTTGATGAGCTCTAAACCCTGACTGAAACTCTTCAAACTGATTTTTTTTTTTTTTTTTTTTTTTTGGTAGATGTTTGCGCAACTGACCTGAAACTATTTTCTCTAGAATGTTTTAGATGAAAGTTAGATTAGATATAGGTCTATAATTGGCTAGGATTCCTGATTCAAGTTTATGTTTCTTAAGTAAAGGTTTATTTTTAGCAACCTTAAAGCACTGTGGTACATAACCATTCATTAGAGAGAAATTAAGCAGATCTAAAATTTGTGTATTAATTGGGGAAATACCTCAAAGGACATTTTGAGTTGTCCTAAGGTTCAGGCTGGTCCACAGAGGTGATCATGCCTTTTCAGTTGTTGCTCCTCCTGGAACCAGCAGCTCCTTCAGATCAGACAAGCTCTGAATGGTTTTAAGTCACTTCGTCAGACACATTTGTACTCACTGACTTTTGCTACAGCATAAGAGTTGACATTATTTTAGTTCAGTTTATTGGTTTTATTTTGTCTTGTCGTGTTTTTCAAATCAAATGTATTCATATAGCACTTTAACAACTGTCATTGTCAAAGTGCTGCACATAATACAAGTAGTAAGAGGACGATACAAAAACAGGAGACCATAAAAACGTACAACAAAAACATTAAAAAATAGAAGACAAAAAAGTCAACTCCCATACTGTATTAAAAGCTAGTGAGTATACAAGTATGTTTTAACAGTTTTTGTTCGTTGTAATTTGTTGCTTTTAGCACTGTGGCCAACGACAATTGCTTTTAAATGTGTTATATCAATAAATATGATTTGATTAAAAAATTATAATAATGTGAAGCGATAGAACATGTTATGACAAACACATAAATTCAGATGCAAATGAACATGGGAGTATCTTTATTCTGTCCTAAGCTTTAATGCATGCATGGAAAGATGTGTGCTCATCTCTCCTCCCTCCTGCAGAACAACCTCCTCTCTTCAGTGTTAACACCTGAATGTGTTTTTTTTTTTTTTTTTACTGGGCAGCTAAATAAAAACCAGCAGATCGAGTGGTCCAGATGTCAAACCCAGTGGTCACCCATCAGCCCGGCGCAGGCGGCTATGGGACGAATGTCCAGACCGGAGACTGGAGCACCGGCTTGTGTTCCTGCTGCAGTGACTGTCTGGTCTGTGAGTACAATCTCATAATCTGTTCACATACTGGTGAGGTTTTAGCTCCAGAAGGATTTTCTCTTCTCTGTCAACGTTTCTGAAGAGAATACGTCTCCATCTTTAGGTGCTATTGGTTTTTGCTGCCCAATTGCTCTGAGCTGCTACACAGCAAATAAGTATGGAGAAAACTGCTGCTTGGGTTGTTTGCCAGGAGGGATGACTGCCATGAGGACTCATATGAGACTGACGTATGGGATTCAGGTAAGTTTGCTCAATCTCTTTCTCCAGCTCTTAAGAAATACTGAGATTTCACAAACAAGAAATATTGCGTGTTCTGTAAAATTAACAAATCAGACTTGCAACACATTTCTTCACTCATTAATGTTCCTGTTTCGTGATTATTTGTTCTTTTTTTTTTTTTTTTTTTTTACCACAGGGGACAATATGCAACGACGCCCTCATGACTTTCTTTTGCAGCCCTTGTGAAACGTGCCGTATGGCGAGAGAAATTCGCATCAGGAATGGAGAAATTTCACTGTAACCACATTCGAGGACGTCCTGCTGTCGTGGAAGTGAATTGTTGATTTCAACAGTAGCTCATATTGAAAACAAAGACAGGGAAGCTGATCAAATCGAAAGCACAATTTGCATTGCTATAAATAAATTGCATCGTCCAAACACATCGATTATAACAATCAAGCCTTGTGACTTTTTGAACTAAGCATAAATCTAAAATGTATTGTTTCTGTTTATTTTATTACCATATAGGTGTGTGAAACTATATAACTCTAAATGTTAAGGTATATCAATTAATTGTGCTTTGATGACACCGAAACTGAAACGAAAACTTTCTTAAATGCAATAATTTTCAGTTGTGTTAAGAAAGAAACTATTTTAATAATGGAATCAGCTTTATGCAAGCATGAAAAATGATGTTTGTTGCTCTGATGGTTTCACTTTAAGGATTTTAAAGGTAATTTCTGTAAATTAAAAGCTCGTCATTCTGACATGGTAAAATGTTTCTTTTTAAAATTATATTTGGCGATCTGTTAATTGCAAGTTAAACTTGTACTTGGAATCAACACATTCCTATTAGTTTGTGGACCAAAGAACTGATGCCAAAATGAGACTATAGGTTGTGGGATGCCAGTACTATAACAGACAAGTTCATTTCAGGTTACATGCAGTTATCATCTTCCTACAGCTGAGCTAAATTATATTTGTTTAATTTTAGTTTGCGTGCAATTTGTACTGATTTACCTTCTGATTTAAAATTTGAGTGACATCATCATCTCAAATGAAAAGTGCTTAGAAGTGTATCAGAAATGTTTTATACTTGTTGTGAGACAGACAGCAATAGTACACCATAGTACAATGCCTTTGTATGAACATTCAGGTTTTTAACCACATTGCTTACATAAAATTCATTTTTAATTTAAAAAATGTATTTTTACTGTGAATTCTTACATGCAATCTCATGCAATAAGGCAAGTTGTAAGACTCAAAGTATGTTTTTGGAATGCCTCATTTACTTCTACATCAAATTTGAGTAAATTTGTAAAAATTGATTGAATTATAACTATTTTCTCTTAGTTATTGTGGATTAACTGTGGCTGCCTTGTTGAATTTGACTGACCCTAAAAGTTACAAAGTTGCTGTGCTTCCAATATTTTCTAAAAGTCTATTAAAGTCCGTCCAGTGGTAGATATTTTGCTAACAGACAAACAGGTTTGAGACCAATAGTTAATGTTTTATGCAAATTTCTTGCACAATGAGTATTGGGGTTGACTCGGTTACAACTACACCAAATTTTAGCCCAATTTTTGTCAAACAGGCTAAATTATAGCTAATTTTATGTTTTTATTGGCTATATTGTGGTCACTTATTAAAATATTTAAAATATTGCTGTGGTTCATGAACTATTTTGCTAACAGACAGACACTGGCAAAAACATTATCGTTATTATCATTATGTAGTGTTTGTGTAATGATAATAATACAGTACTTTGAAACCGCGTTAGGATTGTTTCACAATTATCCGTGGCTCTTCCGTGTGAGACAAAAGCGCTGAAGCTACGCTGCGTCCGTCCGCTTCATTAATTTGTACGTCTTGACGTCACTACGCTGTGATTGGTCGTTTCCTCCGTGACCTGGCAACCAGAGGAGGCTTTACCAAACAGACAGAGGCGATACTAAAGCAACCCGTTAGCGGCTACTATTTATCTGAGAACACTCGACACTCCAAATACCATCATGTCTACAAGGACCCTGCCGCTGCTCTTTATTAATCTCGGCGGCGAAATGCTGTACATCCTGGACCAGCGGCTTCGAGCTCAGAATATACCCGCTGACAAAGCTAAGAAAGGTAGTTAGCTTAGCCTCAGCAGCTAATTATTCTGCTAACACACATCACCCACTAAGTGCTGCAGAAATGTTAAACCACGGGAAGGTCATATTTACCTTCGTCACTTTCTTGGTTTACTACATTTTGGTAAGTTTAGTGAATTAAGAAAAAAGTTTACATAAAAAGAAGTCAAGGTTTAACATCACGTAATAGGTTATTTAATTGTGTTTTAACAAGTTTACTCAATAATCACTCAATTAGTGAATTGATGTTGATGGTATGTTACCTGCATTAACATGCTCTTTTAAATCTTTAAAAAAAAGGGATAGCCCGAGTTGGACTAATTTACATTAAGCTATCTACTACAATACGTTACGTACACACACACTTGAGATATAATAACCTTCTGGTTTTTGAACACAAGTTTGTTTGTGCATCTTCTTTTAATTCATAAACGTTCCACAGTAGCCACCTGGAAAGAGGAGGACAGGAAGAGAGGTATTAGTACAAGATTCAGTATAATCATGCACTTGTGCATTAGTAGTTCTTTGCTCTGCTTTGGCTTTTAGCTGGAAAGCCACACACTGAACAGTAGTGTTTTTTTTTTGTAAACTTGGCAATAGTTGAGACCTCATGCTCAGACTAACTCAAAGGTAAGACCCTGCGGTTGTTTTCTGCACCAATCGTTAACTGACCCGAGTCACAGAAAAGCTCACTTAATTGCCACAAACTTCACGTTTTGTTGTCCTTTATTGTATAAACGTAACATGCCTAAATTTTGCGACTCATGAAATCTCCCTCAGATCCCAATGTATGCTTTTACTTTAATGAGGTCTTACTACATTTTATGTTGCCATTACTTAAACTGATAAGTATTCATGGGGCTGTGGTAGCTTGGTGGCCGTGCTGCTGCTTTGATCTGTGGGGTGAAGTTCTGGATGGAAGGGTTTTGGCAAATCTGTAGACTAGAGTGCATAAGCTCCTGCTTCTGAGTCTGCTCTGTCAAACGTAAATTTGTTTAATTTAAGTCACTTCTTTGTGGACTTTCTGTTGTGCTGGTTGTCCTGACTAGTTATGAATGACATCATCACCACCATGTTCAACAAAAAGTTCCTGGAGGAGCTTTTCAAGCCGCAGGAGCTTTACTCCAAAAAGGCCCTGCGGACTGTGTTTGACAGGCTGGCTCATGCTTCCATAATGAGACTCAATCAGGCTAGTATGGACAAGGTAAGGCTTGGGTTTGTTTTGTTCATTTACTCGCATCACATTTCTTCATGGACAAGTACACTGCCTGGCCAAAAAAAAAAGTTGCCACCTGGATTTAACTAAGCAAATAGGTACGAGCCTCCTATTGGATAATTACTGCATGGGCGATTATCTTTCAGCTGGCAACAAGTTATTTAACCCCAACTGGTGCAATGAGTTGATTCTCATTTCTTAAACAACCATGTCGAAAGACACATCGCATGGTCGTGGAAAAGATGTCAGTCTGTTTGAGAAGGGTCAAATCATTGGCATCAAGCAGAGAAAACATCTAAGGAGATTGCAGAAACTACTAAAATTGGGTTAAGAACTGTCCAACACATTATTAAAAACTGGAAGGATAGTGGGGACCCATCGTCTTCGAGGAAGAAATGCGGCCCGAAAAAAATCCTGAGTGATTGTGATTGGTGATCACTTAAACATTTGGTGAAATCAAATCAAAGCAAAACAAGAGCAACACTCAGGGCTTTGTTTAATAATGAAAGTAAGAGCATTTCCACACGCACAATACAAAGGGAACTCAAGGGATTGTGATTGAACAGCTGTGTAGCCTTAAGAAAACCACTAATCAGTGAGGCTAACTGGGAAAAAAAAGGCTTCAATTTGCTAGGGAGCATAAAGATTGGACTCTGGAGCAATGGAAGAAGGTCATGTGGTCTGATGAGTCCAGATTTAACCTGTTCCAGAGTGATGGACGCATCAGGGTAAGAAGAGAGGCAGGTGAAGTGATGCACCCATCATGCCTAGTGTCTAGTCATCAATGTAAGATCTTGGTGGAAAGTTAATGCAACACTGGATGGAAATAGATCTTGTGACATTGCAGAAGCTTATTGAAACAATGTCACAGTGAATGCATGTCGTAATCAAAGCTAAAGGCGGCCCAACAAAATATTAGTGTGTGACCTTTTTTATTTTTTATTTTTGGTGGCAACTTTTTTTTTTTGGCCAGGCAGCGTATAAATGCATGATTTTTACTGTGTTTTCATTGTAGTGTGTAGAGTGGTGTTTGGTCAATAGCTATCTGTTTCTGGTAAATCTACACTCTGCCACAATTTCCTCTTTCAACTAGCTATATTATGCACTAAAACGACAGAGAACTAACATTTGTGCACTGCATATGGCTCCCTCTACTGTTTATCACATAACTGAATGTTTTTTTATATATATTTTAATAATCAAGAAAGTGAGATAACGTATTTCTTCTGCACAGCTCTATGACTTGATGACCATGGCTTTCAAATACCAAGTGCTTCTGTGTTCCCGCCCTAAAGACATCCTGCTGGTCTCCTTCAACCACATGGATGCAATCAAAGACTTTGTGAAAGATACAGCGGGCATTCTCAGTCAGGTTGATGAAACTTACCTACAGCTCATAGAGGTATAAAATATGGGGTTTTATCATCATAGATTGTGACTGGCATATTTTACTTAACCTGTTTTTCTGCAGTGTACAAGATTATTTGTTTGTAATTAAAACAAACAAAACATATAATTTTTCAATAAAAGGTAGAAAACCTCTATATGTTTGAGAAAGATTTTTAAAAATTAGTTATGCAAGCTTAGGTGTGTTCAATAAACCAGACGTAGACTCAGAGCAGGTGGTTCATTGCTGGTCCTCGGGCAGGATTTACAAAACTATATTTCTTTGACCAGGATGTCTATAAAATGTCTAATAGAAGAAGCCATCTAATCCAGCTACATACTGTACATAATGTTACGGTAATGAGAAATGAGAAAAGATTTTTGTGCGACTGAGAGAAAGAAAATTTGTCAGTACAATAAATGTGTAATGTATCTTTTAAAAAAAAACATATCTGCACATATTTGCAAACAAAATGACTTTTTCAGATGTATACACCCATGTCTAATGGTGAATTCCAACTGATCCGACAAACGCTTCTCATCTTCTTTCAAGACATGCATATAAGGGTCAGTTCACCTTTCATCATTAGTGTGTTTGTAAGATGGTTTTTTTTTATCTTATTTTAGGTATTTACTCCACGACTTTCTTTTATTGCCTTCTTTTCTAACAGGTGTCTATTTTCCTAAAAGATAAAGTTCAGAACTCAAATGGCCGGTTTGTGCTTCCCACCAGTGGTCCTGTGCCTCCTGGAACGCAGGTTCCTGGCTTAATACGGTAATACACTGATCTTAGTGTTGTGGTTGTGTAGCTAAAAGACTAAAACAAAGAGCCTGAGAGCTAAGATCATGCTAAGGTTGTCTCTCTGCAGCTAACTGCATTAAAGAGGTTTTGTTGAACCATCTTTAAACCTATAATTTTAGATAAGTTGTATGTTAAGCTTGAGTAATTGAAAAAATGAATTTGCTCAATTTTATATTTGATCAAAACATTAGCTTATATTAAACTGTTGAGTTTAAACCTCAACTTAAAAGAAGTGGGTGCTTTTTTTTCATAGCCAACATTTGCTTTGTATCAAAGCATGAGAGCTTTCTTATCTGAATTGTGCTTTTTGTTTAATTTTAGGATTTTTAGCTGTACTGGCGAGGAGCTAACCAGGCTGCAGTTCAGCAATGGAGGAAACTACACTTCGGCACTTCGAGAAGGATCCTTTGAGATTTTTGGAGATCGGGTTACCAAACTTGGCACAAACATGTAAGAAAATGGTGGATGTGTTTTACTATGTTTGTGCTCTGTTAGTTGATTGATTGTGACAGCCTAATGAGTTAATTATAGAAAATTATCATCTAACCAAGATAATTTTCAAAACACTTAATTAAAAACTGGGAACTGGTCTGAGTGCTGACATCACTCCCCATCTAAAAAGTTGGATAAATCTGTAATTATGCATAATTTTCTCTTATTGTTCTATGAATAACTTACAGAAGGTTTTAATAACACGTATGAAGTCTTTTGGATAAACAAATTATTTTTGTTAGACCATGAAGTACTAAATTTGATTTATCCCCCATTATTTGTACTGCCTTGTAAATAAATTATGTTCTGGTTGTTTTAATGATCACTCTGACATTTGCTCATGTTCTTCTTGTCATCCTTCCATCCAGGTACAGCATTAGCCGCCCTGTTGAGACACACATGTCTGGCACGTCTAAAAATTCTGCTCAGCACACAAAGGTGAAACATTGAATTTTAGAACATAAAAAAAACAAACATTCAAACAATTTTTAACAGGGGCCTTCATGCAATGTGTACAGTACATAGCATGTGTAGATGTTGACAGTTTGATTATCTATTATTAATTTTTCATCATCAGGAACGGAAACTAAATTACAGCAATTTAAACTGCAATTTTGCCGAAGTGAATAAACCATTGTCTGTCAACAGGTCAGCGCTGCTCCGAACCCCCTGGCCAAAGAGGAACTAAATCTGTTGGCCAGGTTAATGGGAGGCCTAGAAGTTGAGAAAACGGGAAACACAGAATGTGGCTTTCGGGTAAATCTCTTTGCCACAGATGAAGAAGAAGAGTAAGTGTCCTAATAATTGGTGCGCCTGATTAAACTGAACTTCTACTATGGCCTAAGTGAAAAAGAAATGCTTTGAAATGTATTTAAATGAAATAAAACTCACATTTTGACTCTTGTTTAATGACAGAGAAGCATTTATATCCAGACCTGACGAGCTTTCGTATGGAATCATAAACATCCAAGCAACAAAGGTAAAAAATAAAACCTGTTTAGAAAAGAACGTGTCCAGTGTTTGTTTTATATTAGTTTGAATTTTACAACAGATTAAATTACAAAAAAGCTGATCCTGATGGGAACTGCATGCAAGTAGGGTTAGAAACAGTTTTCGAGATTGTGCCCGGCTTTGTTTTAATCATGAGGCCCTTGGGATAGGCTTTTTTACAAGTTCTCATAAATCTTATTCTGCTAAACTTAGCAAAGACTTTGAGGCATGCATTAACCCCAACGTGTCAACCTCAAAGACTACTACTTACAAGCAACCCACAAGAGTGGCGTACAATCATTGATCTAGAATCTGAGGATTTACTTATTTAAAAGGATTTACTGTAATAGGATACAAGTCCTTGTGATTACCTCTTTGACTTAATGACTGGTTGATCATGTTGTCTTTCAGGACCAGCAGACCAATGCAGAGTTGGCCAAGATCATGGGAGAATTCACAGAGTCTGAAGATCAATCTCCCAGCTCCAGCAGCAAAGGAGAAGACCTTTTATCTATGATGGACGGTCTGTGACCTGGTCGCCGTGACAGAATGGCCCAAGAGGTTGTACACGGTGCGTCATTAAAAGTCTACACTACAGAGGATCAGTCTGTACCTGCAAATACCTCGCAGCAGGCTCCCACACAGCCGTAAGACTTTAATCTTGTGGGTTTTTAAGATGCTAATGATGACAGATGGCAATATACGGCTGCATTTTTATTAAAAAACAACAACAATTGTGTTCAGACCTGAGATCCAAACTGTGCTAAAGTGTCATTTCATGCTAGCTCTAAACTGAAAGTTTATTTCAGCAAGTTCTATAGCAGGTGTATATCGCATGTACGTGGTATTAGCAAAACATCAACTGAAATAACACTTAAAAACACATGTTTTTATATACATATTTTATGTACATTTTTGGATTTGGGGAGTTCTAGCCCACCGTTTCATGGTTCTTTATGTTTTGTCCTGATCTCAGACATATCTTTACACATGGTGAAACAAGGAATTGTTAACTTTATATTCTGATGAACAAGTGGGTAAACAGAAGGGTGGGAGTGTTGAAGAAAACCCAAGTGCTCTTCTTTTTTGTTTGAACTCCCCTAAATATTTATTTTAATAATAAATGTTTGCTCTTCACTTTGCATTTTTATTGTCAAAGAATACAAAAATTTAGCAAACCTGCCGGTACTTAAAAACAATCCCGTTACCCTGTGATGTCAAATAATGTTGAAATGAGGTTTAGAACTGCTACACTGTTGTAAAACAAAGCAAAGCAATATAAGAAACTGTAATATGTAAATATTTTTATTGCAAATTTTATTTATTTTGTGAATAAGGAAATATTGCTATTGCTACTGATAAGTTATTGAATGTGTAATTTAGTATTTTCAATAAATAAAGAAAGTTTTGAACATCCATCCATCCGTTATCTTTACCTGCTTCTTCCTTTTTGGGTCGCCGGGGTCACTGGTACCCATGTCCAGCCATCACTGTGCGAGAGGCAGAGGACACCCTGGACAGGTCTCCAGTCCATCACAGGGACACACAGAGACAAACGCTGTCACACCTAGGGACAATTTATCGTTCCAAATCAGCCTAACATGCATGTTTTTGGTCTGTGGAGAAAACCCACGCATGCACGAAGAGAACATGCAAACTCCACTCAGAAAGGCCCTCGACCTGGATTCGATCATCCAACATTCAATGATTACCGGTATTTCCTTTTATATTAAAATCCATCCAGTGCTTGATTAAGTATTTTACTAATGTTACAAACACCAACATTATTGCCCTGCTACCTTCAGGTGCTAATTACCCAGAGGTTAAAAAAAAAAGTACTTTGAAGTGCACCCAGGCATGAGGGCAATATGCAAACTCCTCACAGAAATGTCTCCACTGGGAGTCAAATCAATAACCTTCCTGTGAGGCAACAATGTAAGCAGCTGCACCACAGTGCTGGTGTGAAGTTTGTTGTAATTCATGTGGTATAACAGAAGAGGGCGCTGTCTGATTTTCTGCAATAATGCAAGTGTTTGTTTTTAATCAAATGTGTATTTTAATGTGACAGACTTGTGTTAAAGCAAAAAGTGATAAATGCCTTCTTTTGATCCATTTTTCTCCAATTCCATTTTCACAGTACTGCAGAGCTACACAAATGCAGAAAAAAACTTGTCAGGTGTATTTTCTCTCCTGTATTTAGTGCAAACAACCAAACCAAATCACTAATAAAGGAACACATCAACCACCTTCAAGTTGTACCTACAGGAGAATCGCCATAGCAACAATAATTACTAACGGACACTATGTTGTGTTTGAAAAGCTTATGAGTCAAAGCAAACTTGTCTGCACCTTTGCAGTCAGCCACACTACATGAACTCGGTGCATACCATAGCAGCAAACATGCTGAGACACTTCTCTGAACTGATCTGGGGCAGGAGAAGGAGGAGGAATCTGATGAGGTCTTCTTCACCAGCACAAAAAGAAAGACTTGGTGCCCTGAGGACACAGTCCAATTACAAAACAAACAGAAACCAGAGCTCAGGCCAGGCGTCCTGCAAAACCTATTCAATTTAGCACACAAAAAAAACTTTTTGCATTGTGAAACCTTTCTAATGTAAGTTTTATTTTTTTAAGTAACTTGAACCCAAATATAATTTGTTGTGATTTTGCAATTTCTTGAAAATATATTCAAAGCAAAGTGGGAAAACCTCTTCTAAGGAAAGAGTTGTACTCGCCACCAAGTCAATTAATTTACACAAGTACACTCGGTTTGGCTCCTAACATGTCGGATGTTTTTCTCACAGACCCTGCATTTTCGAAATGACTCAATTTCCTCTTTAAAGAGACACTAAAAAGCCACAGTCTGATTGTGTTTTATGTGGCTGGGGGCATGTGCTCTGCTGAGTCAAGACAGGAAGACTTGTGCAACTCAAAATAAAGCTCTGCCATTTAAGTTGCCCTCTCTGTCTGTCAAATCTGCCCACTAGCTGAAACTGGTAACTGTGGGTGGAATTTAGGATTATTCAGTTAAACTAAATTAGCAATTTAGGTGGGCCTAGCAAAATGTCAGTCACTGTAAGGTGTGCTTGCAACGAAACTGAGGAGCAGAATGACTATATGGTGAGTTCAGGCTGTTTTGTGTTGCAGAAACCTGCATAAAATCTGAGTAAATTCATTTTAATACTCATTTAGAACAATTTGAACACTGTTTCAATGATGTAATGTAATCAGTCTGATAAAGTAACAAACACAGTTATGTAGTTTCACTCGTTCATATAGTTTACCTGAATGAGAAGCAATATTGTGTTTATCTCATTAAAAAATGTTGCTGAATTTTCTACTAGTGAGCTGTCCAGAATGTACGGAGTGACTGCTGGAGAGAGGCACAAGCTGCCTGTGACCGGGAAAGAAAGAAACGAGTAGAAAAAAAAAAAAGATGGATGAATTGCTGATACGTTTCAAATATCAGCTTCAATTTTTTTGTTTGAATTTACTTTTGGGTTTTTTTAGCACCAAAGTCATAAAATGGAAAGTTATACGAAGGTTACACCTTTTGGGGAGTGGTGGCGCAGAGGTTAGAGAGGTGGGCTTGTGATCCGAAGATCGCCGGTTCACGCCCCGACAACATCAAAATTGTGGGTGGGGTAGGTGAAACACCCACACTTGCCCCCACCCTCATTCGCCCCACTCTGGGCCCATGAGCAAGGCCCTTAACCCCCACCATGTGCTCCCTAAAACAGGTCTCTCTTGAAAATGAGTTCTCGCGGCTCAATGAGACTAACCTGGATAAATAAAGGCTAAATGAAAAAAAAATACAAAGGTTACACTTAAATTGCTAAATATTTTGATATTTTTAGTGATATGAAACGGTTTTTTGTCATGAATAGATTAAAAACCAGCAGGCCTCTGCAGGTGCAAACTTGCAATCTCAACATGAAGATAGCAAGGTATTGAATCTGAGAAAGGGACAAAATGACTAAAAGCATAAATAAATGTACTTCATTTTGAGTTTTACTGTGGTTGTTGTGCAGTTTGTTGTGATTTTGAGTCTGTGTTTTATTATTTCATCTTTAACTGTCTGATTAATTTCCATCTTTTCATTCAACCTTTATTTAGACAGGTTAATCCCATTGAGCCTGGAGGACTCCTTTACAAGAGAGACCTGATTTCAACAAAGAATGATGACAACAATAGACAATTAAAAAAAGGCATACAGTTTTTTTTTTGTTTTTTTTTTTACAAATTAAAATAAGATGGCAAAAAAGCATAAAAAACTGTTTAATCCATATAATCTCTTGGTGAAATGTGTTGTTTTACTGTAAAGTGCCTACCAGTCATTTTGAGTCTTTGCAGTTTTATGTCATGGTGAGTTTATGACGTTAACATTTGTTGTGGCTTGATTTAATGTTAGCAGCTGCCTCTGAAAGAAGTTCTCTGGTGTGCTTCCTAAGTATTTGCGTTTGATATTTACTTTTCCTCTGTGTGCATTTACAAATCGTCCTTTTATTGCAGCTCGTTAAAATAACTTTTCAAGTGTTCAAATTTACAACGCGACTACCATGATGTCATGGTTTCATTTAGCAACTTTTTATTATGCAAAGAATTTCATCATCAGGGCGGGACCGTTAGGCCTGAGATCCGACGATTGTCATTGGTCGATCGTGGCTGTCAATCAGCGTTGCGTGTGCGTCATTTCCGTTGTCAGGTGGCGCTGTCGCTGTGGAAAGATGCGATCAGCGGAGGCTTTTCCTTAATTGCTTATTTCTGCAATAGAGGCTAAACAACCCCCGGAAAGCCGGTCTTTGTGGTCTTTTCTGACTAAGCGAGAAGCTCCGTACACCCACCACGGCGTTCATCCAAGAAATGTCTGTGTTTTAAGGCGTCAAGGCAGATTTTAACCGGCGGTTTTGGCTCGAGGTAAGCGAGGCTTTTCTGACACTGCTAACCAGCTGTAACGTTACCTACTTTGTTTAAATGGCCTCCCCGGCTACTCTACTACAGACTCGAGCTTTGCGTTAGCTGGTGTCGCTCGCCACCAGTTACATTAAAAACCTCTCGAGTACACGGTAGTACATTTAAAAGTACACATAATTTTGCTAACGGTTCCTTTATACGGTTTGCGCTGGAAGCCCAACTCCCCGTGTGTGTCCCTTTGTGTGACTACGCTCGAAGCTGTTAGCCGCCGAGTTGAATTAGCTCCACTGTCGCAATAAGGCGACAAATTACGTTTGTCAAAAATGGTGTCAAGTGAGTGATTTACGCACACAGTGGTGCATTGGGTGCAGCGTTTGTTAAAGACCAAATTTCTGCTGATGCATAAATTAATGATCAATCTGCTGCTTGGACTGCTTGTGTCCCAAGTTGCAAGGCGTCATGTCAGCGTTTTCCTCCAGGAGTTTGCTCTGCTTGCTGCCAGAACAGTGTCCAGGTCTTGATGACGCGAATGAGAAGGCAATGAACCACTGACAGCTCGCCTTTTTAAATGTTTTCATTTGGTTTGCAGCGTGACCTTGTGTCCAAAGCGTGGTCGTGTGGTCAAGGGCGTTCTGATATGGTGCATCTAGTTATCTGTGAATACTGTCTGCAGCAGATTATTTCCATTAAAAAAAAAAAAAAAAAACACTTTATTTTCAATCCACTTGTGGAGTCATTAGTTCATCTGTTTAGAAATGTATTTTTTCCTCAATTGCTGTTTGGATCATTTTCATTTGCCTTGCTGCTTCCACCCTTTTGATCTTTTTTTATTGTATTTTTTAAAATGTTTTTGCAGTAAATCCTCTTTCTTGCAGAGCCAGACAAATGGCACGAAGTCTGGTTGGGTGGATCTTGAGACACCTACGTGGTTGTTTTGTTCTGATACTATTTAAAGGCGCCCACATTTCTCGTGGGCACTGGCAAAGCGTGTCTCTGCTTCTTTTTTCATTTTTTTTTTTCTTCGTGTGATATGATTCAGAGGCTTTATCTGTTCTCGTCCTCCCTCCAGTACAGTCGAGAGAGGCAGTCTTGCTTGTCAGACCAGTGGCTGTGCAGAGACACACAGCAGTGTCAGAAAACGATAGCTGTGCGCTGTCATCAAGCTGATGTCATTTAGGTCAGTGTGCAGTCGTTGGTTACATCGACCTTTTGCTTTTTACATTCGTTTGAGGGCGGCTGCCAACACTGCAGCTGGTTTTTACTTGGTAGATGAATAGCCTTGGGTTTGTTTGCTGTATGTTTGTATCATTTTATGTGAATGAGTCAGTCAAGCTGCCTTCCTTGCACTGAACTAACAATCTAGACATGTTTTTCTGGCGGCACGATAAACCACACGATCCGTGTCAAGAACCCTATTCCCCCAACCAGGAGCTTCATGAATTGCATTACCTGATTATCCACCTCTTTGTATCCTCTGGAGTGAGACACCCTCTTACTATTTGCAGCATGACTTTGTGTCACTCTGCCTTGTGCCATTAATGCTGTCAGAAAACCTCAACTCATCAGACTCAGTGGGTGATGACTAGCGGAGATGGAGACAGATGGGCGAGAGACACGATGATGACACCGTCTGCTGTCTGGGATCACAAAAAGCCTTGTGGAAGTGAGAATTCATACTAGCCCTCACTGGCTGCCAACTGTCCTGTCTATTCTGTGCCCAAAAATGCCAACTGGCGAGCTGCACATGACTGATTTTGTAACAGGGACGTTGTTTATTGATTAAAAACTAAATATTCAGTTACATTTTAAGATGCCGGTACTATAGATATATTTTTCAGAATGTAATTTTGTGAATATTCTTCTTTTTATTCTTTGCTAGTGAGATTTAATGATTTGCACAGTTTTTTCTCACCAGAACAAAAATATGCACGCTTCAGCTATCCCATGGTTTTAGATATGTCCCTTTTTAATGTTTTCATTGTACTTGCATGGTTCTATAAACTGAGCATTTAGGTATTTAAGCCTATTGAAAACTTGGGATGGCAGCAGAATGATTCATTCCTCTCAGTTCGTGGCTCTACTTCCCTATTACGGGAAACAGATGGCATTTCATCACATAGGAACGTGGTATCAGTAAACAGCATACCTCTCGCTCTGATTTCTGTGAGGTAAATGGCATCTCTCGCATCAGTTTAAGTAGTGCATTTATTGACAATGTGTCACACGGTCACTGGTTCTTCTGGCACGCAAGTGTACTTTCTCATCACAGTGCATCGGCTTTGTATTTTTACGTTTCACCCTTTTTAAAACATGTATTCCCTTTTCAGAGTCTGCAGAGTGACAAGCTGGCTGCACAAATTCTGTGCAGATTTTCAGATAAAACATGCAGATTAAGAGTCCCAATGGTTTTTCTAAACCCATGTCCACTGATTTGGGGAAAGCTAAGGATTAAAGATTTAAATCTAAAGGCTTCTGTTTAGCAAATCTTGTCCTTGTGCCACTGGTTCGCATGCGAATGTGCTCATTTTGAAATCGATTGTGTCCCTTACACTAGCTTGTTCGAGAGATTGAATCTTTGGTGTTACCCTTGACACCAGCAGCCATTATTCTAAATGGAACTGTAATGGCCTCACATTAACACAGAGGTGTGTAAATGTGAGGGGAGGGATCTTTAAAATGGGCTGGGTGGAGCTGCCCTGAACTTTACCTCCTTTCTCCTCTGTTCTCTGATCACTATCTCCACAACCTTGTTTGTCCTGGTCTTGATTCCAGATTGTCAATTGTCCTTTTTTTTGGTCAAGCATTTAGATTTTGTCTTTACAGTCATGTGATGTCTGCTTTCCCTTTTACTTGACTACCTTTATCCCATGAACTAATCAGATTTGTTTCCCTTTAGCGCTCCAGGATGTCCAAACGACGCTCTTCAGAGAGGGGAGCTGGAGAGACATCGGGCAGGGCCAGCAAGCTGCACTGTCCTGGGATATCTGGCAGTAACGCCAAGAGAGCCGGTCCCTTCGTCCTTGGTACGAAATCTAGTTCTGTTCGCCCATCAATTTTCCATTAAAGTTTTATATATAATAATTAGAAGAAAATGCATATTTTCATACATTTTTGTGTCGATGATAACCTAAGTCATATGCATTGTTGCCATGTGTAACCTGTACAAGAGTTCAGTATATTTGGGAAAACCTTGTGTGAGATGTAGAATGCTTATGTGAGTATATTGTAGCATGCTTGAGACAAGAATTTGAAGAATTTGGCTGATCCCCATTACACCGGCCAGAAAAGGTCTGTGTTAGGGCGAGTTCCCCCCCCCCCCCCCCCCTGCTCTGGAAATAATTTTTCTTTCTCATAGTCTGAAATGTGTTTGTTTCTGCACCAAAACTTTTAACTAGTTGCATTGCCCGGTACAAAAAAAACAAACAAAAAACCTAACATTGCACATGTGGTGTTAATGGGTAAATGCACATGCAGCCTTTAAATGAGCGGTGGGAGCACATGCTCAGGCGTTCAGACTGCCTTTTGGTCAAGCAGCTGTTCCTTCTCTTTCCCTTGCAGGACCTCGCCTGGGCAATTCACCGGTGCCGAGCATAGTTCAGTGTTTGGCCAGAAAAGATGGCACAGATGATTTCTATCAGCTCAAAGTAAGTCCATCGGGAACAGCACTTTGTTTAGTTTTGCTCACTTATTCACATAATTTAAAATAAATAAATCAAGCAAGTCAGTCAAAACAAAAGCTATAATATCCCATTGGACTTTTGAACCTTTAACCTTTTTCAGTGTAGATTTTATTGCCCCTCTTTCAAGTCTGGCACAAACAACAGAACATTATCCAGACTGTGTCTTTGCTGGGATTTTCCAACGCCTTTTCACAGCCCTCTAAAGCAATAGTAGGAGAGAAATGAACAGAGGAAACTACTTTACACAAAATGTAACTACGGAGATCACATTGAGATTCAGTTCATTTCTGATGTGCCGTGTCCACACTATTTTTTCACTTCATTCTTTTCAGATACAGCTCATGTTGTCATGAAAAATAATTTAAGATGGCCTGTATAGCACATAAAACATTTTTGTCCTTTTGTTTAAATCTTTTTTTCCCCTTGTGATCTAATGTTTGCTCTGTTGTCAGATCCTGACACTGGAGGAGCGAGTAGACTCTGCAGGGGAGACTCAGGAGGAGAGACAGGGCAAGATGCTGCTGCACACAGAATATTCTCTGCTTTCTCTGTTGCACAACCAGGATGGGGTGGTGCACCATCATGGCCTCTTCCAGGTGAGTGGATATTTGCAAGATATTAAGAAAATACTATTGTGGTTTAAAAAAAAGAGCATGTCATTGTTTCTGGTGCGTTACTCGATACAGTGAGGGTGATATTTGTGCAACTGAGATTGATCTGGGAATGGAATCCCTTTGGAAAAGTTTCTGTCGCTTAATTTTCACTTTCGAGTAAATTTTCACTGCGCTCGTGCAAGAAACGGCACTATCTTATCAGCCGAGTCACGCCAGCTGCTTGACTAACAGAAATGTGGATGTATCATTAAAAGCTATATTTATCTGCAGACATTCTTTGTTCACATCCTCATCCATTCATAATGAACCCCCCCCCCCTCACTTGCCATCCCATCTGCCTTCTGTAACTTTGTTATTGTTCCATCATCCCTCTCACTCTGTATTTCATTCACATCCTGTCCATTTCACTCTGTTGGTGCTCTCAGAATAGCACCATTGAGCCCTGAATCACTTAGGCTTGCAGTATTGATTAGAATATTATAGTGGAGCTACACTGTCAGTTCATATTGTTTTCTTTCAAAGGTGCTCGCTACAGCTAAGAAAACAAAACGTCAACTGATGTAAAAAGTCAGTACAGAAAGTGGGGACTCTGAGTTTGAACAGTAGAAATTACCCTTTTTGTCTTTTTATAAACCACTCACTGTGGTCGGGCAAATGTCTTCTCATGGCAGCTGCATAAAGGCTGTTGAATGACGGCCGCCATCCTTGAATCTGTCTTTCTGATGTGGAAAAGTTTGCTTGATCCTTTAGTTCAGAGAACAAATCCACTCTGTTCGATGTATTTGTGGACGCCTCACAAGTTCTCAAATGGATATTGACTGAAAGTGCATCTAAATTTTACAAATGATTCTGTCCTTTTGAAATTTGCTTCTCACCCTTCATGCCGTTTGTTTTTCACCAGGATCGAGCCTATGAAATAGTGGAAGACATGGAGGCCAACAAAGTTCGCAAAATGAAGAAGCGAATTTGCCTTGTACTAGACTGCCTGTGTGCGCACGATTTCAGTGACAAGACGGCAGATCTGATTAATCTCCAGCATTATGTCATAAAGGAGAAACGGCTGAGCGAGCGTGAAGCCATCATCATTTTCTACGATGTGGTGCGTGTGGTGGAGGCCCTTCATAAAGTAAGTCAGAGGTGCACGTTGATGGACTAATCTAAGACAACTACTCCTTAGAAAGGTGATAGGTCTGCTTCTGTTCAGTTTTTCCTCAATGGCGAAAGCTTTCTACAGAGGTTTTGGTTAACTGAAGGAGAAAATGCTTTTGTTATTGTTTGTTGGTTCCACATTTTTCAGATTACTCATTTCCCAAGCTCGTGTGCCACTCCCAAAAACGAACTTATTGTACCAGTGATTCACTGAGCGCAACGTGATCGTATTTTCTTTTTTCCTTCTCTTTTTCCTGTCTGCAGAAAAACATTGTGCATAGAGATCTCAAGCTGGGAAACATGGTGCTGAACAAACGGTAAGACTGCGTTCAGTTAATAATCTCACCTTTTTTGCAAGATCTGGCATTTTAGTCTGCACAGTAATATGAAAGATGTCTCAGTGGCCCCAGCAGCCTGTAGCCACTAAGCATTAAGCTTTAAACTCAGGCAGAGGTCACATTCTTCAGCTAAGAGTGAGACTACTCGTAGGGACCTACAGGCCTCCTGTCTGAGGCTGTCAGTGTGTTGAAAAATGATAAATCATTTATTCCCCATGGTTGGGTGTTTGAAAATGAACTCTGGTGCTGAACAGAACAAAGAGCAAGTCTCTTCTTTGATCTTAGTGGAAAAGTGTTGGGATGTTAGTTATACGGTTATACAATCCACACAAGACCCTGCTGAGTCCACCACAGGTGGTGCTACAGCTCAGATGGAACATGCACAACCAGGAAACGACTCATTTGTAAACTCTTTCCAATAAGTCCCTCGCTTATCACGGGGTTACTTTCCAACCACACACACACACACACACACACCCCCGGGACAGTAGTTGAAAATCTATGAAATAGGGAAGTTATATTTATTTTAATATATATAAATATATATTACGGCTTTATAAACCCTTCCCACACTCTTGCAATGTTATTAACAATCTCCTAAACTATTAAACCTACATAATTTTAACAACATGCGCATATTTCCTGGAATATCTCGCAAAAAGATCTGAAGCTCTCCACCTTGACCTCTCTAAGTGGCTTTAAGCATCTGTTGGACTCCTGACATGGACCAATGCAGACATGTTCCTGTTTTTAGTTTTCTACATTCGCCTTATAATCTAGCTGTTTTTGCTACCTTTTTTTTTTTTTTTGCAATCTTATTTTAATTTGTAAAAAAAAATAATAATAATCTGTATGCCTCTTTTATGATTGTCTATTGTTGGCGCTGTTGTCCATTGTTGTCATCATTCTTTGTTGAAATCAGGTCTCTCTTGTAAATGAGTCCTCAAGGCTCAATGGGACTAACCTGTCTAAATAAAGTTTGAATATTTACTGTACAGTACTGCAAAATTTTATATGGGTACTCACCAGTGAAAATACTACAAATCTATTTTTACCACATCAGTTTCTCTGTTTAGTGTTTGCTCCCTCCACTGCTGTTCTTTGAGTTTCAGCAGAAAGCAGCAGCCGGAAGCACTGATGGCTTCTGGGCCGTGTAGTTCTTTTGACTTGCGTTACAGTGGAGGCTTATTGAAAGAAAACTACACAATGGCAGCGCCTGTCCAAAGTTTCTTTTGGTTTTTCTACTATTGGTTGGTTCCCACTCCCATCCGCTCCCATTAACTTTTTTTTTTTTCCCCCGTACCGTCTCAATCATGTGAGTAATATTAAAGTTGACAATCCTGTGTAGTGTACAATCACGTTGAAAACTTGCGAAAGAGTGAGTCCGTGAAAGTCGAACCGTGACGTATACTGTACATCAAGCATTGGGTACATGAAAGAGATGGTGTGTGTATTTAAGAAGTTAAGATAAAAATTTAAATTTAGAATAAAATTAACGAGATTTTGCATTAGAAATAAAAAATGTTGGTTCAAAATGGTGTTCAGCTGTGGAGGCACTTTCCAGTCAACCAAAGAGTCATTTTGATGAACTAGATGACTAAATCTGATATATACACACACACATACTCACACACACAGTTCCTACGCTCACCCTAGCTTGAATTATATCAAGCCTACACTGTAGCCTACACAGGAGGCCCGTGTCTTTTTGGGCCTTTCTACTTGCATTTTGCTTTGTCTGTGTTCTGCATTTACACTGTAAAAATACTAGTTGTTTTCCATTGTGTTTAGATTCTTTGTACACATCTAACAATGCTGACAAATCAACAGTGCAGATTACGTTGGATTTGTAATTAATAAATATTGCCTCTACTGAAGTTGGTACAAACATAAATGTGATGACGGTTTTGTTTCACCATTTACACATGTTAGTGATACGTGTGCTGGCAGTTTAAAGCTTTCTTTACTCAGTATTTTTGCTACCAGATATAAAGTGATAATAATTGTGCTTTTTCTATAAAAGCTCATCTACCCCCCCCCCCCCCACACACACACACACACACAAAATTAAAATGTCTGAGTATGTGCATATAATGTCACCCCCACTGGCACTTGTTTTTGTGCCTGTTTTATTGCATATACACTCAGATTCTTGTGCATCTGCAGCCTGAACCCCCACTACCAGCAGCAGTAAAAGCAGTAGTGGCAGTGGTGATGAAATAGGAGAGTGTTTTGGCCAGGGGATGAGCGTGGTGGGGAGAGGATCAGACGAGCAGAACACTCCGTCCCAGCTGGAGACAAAGGAGAGGCATGCCAAAGGCCCAATAGCTTCGAGCTGACTCACTGTAGTGCAAGTCACATTCACACAGATAGTCCTAACATTTATTTACCCTATGCTCTTTTCCTCTCTTTAGTTTTTTCATACAGTCCCATTCCTACAAAAACTTTTTTTGTGGGGAAGTCGCTACACGCTGCACTTTTATGATTCCTTGTTCTCCCAGTCCAGATGTGTGCGAAGTGTACAGTCACTGTGGTGTAATTGCAGTCGGCGTAGAGGCACACTGATTCATTACCCCGCACTTTTCCTACGCCGATTGTCAAACATTCTGGAGAAAACACCAATGCAACACAGCTCAACCATTTATGCAAGAAAGACAGGATTTTCTCTTTTAAAAAGCTACTGTTCCAAAAACAGGATGTCATAAATCACTCTACAGAGTCATTGGCAATTTATTTTGAGGTAACATGACTTGCTATTTTTAATTTTTATATATTAAGAGCCACATATGAATGTTTGCTGCCTAAAGGTGTTTACTCTGACTCTTTAATAACCTATGGGTTATTTAAGCCCTTCAAATCACATTTCCCTCTCTGTTCTGAGAAACAATATTTGCTGGTTTATGAAGAGATTGCCCCGAGTTTAACCTCTCTTCTCGTCAGCTGGTGTATTTTTATTGTGGGGCGGAAAGGAGAAGTCACCGGGGGTGTTTGGGTCTCTGGTTTCCTGACTTACCCGGAATCATGTGACCAGGAAGCAGAGACGGTGTGGTCTCTCTGCAGTCCTTGGGGAGTCTTGCCTCACAAGGCAAATATGCAATTTCATTTATCCAATCTCCGGTGCAAAAATAGAAGCCTGGGTCGTGATGCACACAGACAAAAGAACAGACTCCTTCATGAAGGAAGCTTTTATGCGGAGGGTCCTTGAAGCATCACGCCTCCTTCTGTTGGCTGATCCTCGTGCAGTTCACAAGGCCACTGTATGGTTACAGTATTCATTTAACAGGGTTGGCTCACATACGAAACTGAATGATCTGCAGGGAGGGTTGAGATTGGAGCATTTTGTTGAAGAGTGAGCGTTTAACAGGAATTGGCTCCAGAGGTAAAGAGAGCAGTGAATATATGATGGACCAGGGTGTGAAAGTGAGAGAGAATACAGGAAGCTGTTGACCTCAGTTTTTTTTTTTTAGAAAGTGGATGTGGGCGAAAAGCGTGATGCAGAGAGGACCACGCCGTAGACGGTGGTGGCTTCTTCTTTTGTTTGTGTTTTTTTTTGTTTTTTCTTTTCCTTTGTGCTTTTTTTTCTGTGTTTGCTTGTCCCTGCTCACCATGGGAGTGATTGTGAGGGTGTACTTTAAGTTGCATGTTTGTCTACATATTGCAAGTCTTCTCTTTTTTTTAATATATATATATATATA